GGATCCCACATGCCGCGGAGTGGCTGGGCCCGGGAGCCATGACCGCTGAGCCTGCGCGTCCGGAGCCTGTGTTCCGCAACGGGAGAGGCCACAACAGTGAGAGGCCCGCGTACCGCAAAAAAAAAAAGAAGTTAAATAGTGAAGTCAACTTTAGCTCAGCTGAAATTCAGATTAATAAAATTTACTGTTAGAAGTTACTTTATATAAAGCAGATGTTTCATGTTTATCCCTAAGAAAGCTGGTACTTTTCCTGAAGCACAGTCTGTATTGTATAATACTAGACATTCTCCTGATAAGGCCAGTCTTATAGTGTGTTCTACCCTACTTACTATAAACTTCCTTAGTTGAGTTTGCCGATACTTCCATATTCAATCCTTTGTTTAAGCATAATGGGATGTTTTTCTCTGTTAAAATTTATGTTGCCCCTAAAGAAGCTTAACTAAGGGTCAAGAGACCTAGGTAGTAGTAGTCTTGGCATTGTCATTGCATGACCTTAGACAGATCATCCCGCATTTCCAGATCTGTTTCCTCATCTGTAAAATGAAGGGTATGGATAAGTGGTTTTTAAACTATATTCCTTAGAAACCTGGAAATTCTGTGGCACTGCCTCAGGGACTTCCAGGAAGCTGAGACTCTAGGCCTCCACCTACCACTGGTTCAACCAGAGCAGGTACACTTTTGTCTCTTCTTGTATATTAGACTTTTATAAAATTTTATTTGAAACACAGGTTCCAGTTCCCCCTCTTCAAAAAAAACCAAAGCTTGAAAATCACAGAGATCACTACCTGCTCTCAAATTCTGTGACCCTGTAATATAAAACCTTATCAGTCATTGAAATCCTTTGCTTGAGAGTAGGTGTAGAAGGGGAAGAGAGAAAAAAATATGAGGACATTGGAGATGAGGAACAGTGTCCTATAATGAGGAAAAACAGTGTTGAAATGATAGGTTGGAGCCCTGAACAACAAACTTCACAATTTAACATTTTCCTTGAGCTGCTCTCAGGCAAATATAGAGTCTCTTTTTGATACTTTTCTGTAGTAAAGCTTTGGAACAGTATGAAAATGCTCTTTTCTTTTTTTTTTTAGAAAGAAACAAATGGATAGACTTTTGATTTGCTTGAATACAGGTAAATATCTCCTTGGTTATTTTCACTCCTTCATTTTGCCTCTATCCTCTATTAAATTCTCCAAGTACATTGAGCACACTGACTCGGGCTTCGTGTTTGAGTTAAGCTTCATGCTTTTACTAACATACGTCACAGCAGTATACCTGTTTATTTATTCACAAGCAGAGAAAAGTTTGTCATCATTAGCATTCATCTCCAAATGTGATTTCACCTCTGTTTTTATTCCAGTTTTTTTAAAGACATTTCCCTTCCTTCCTTCCTTCCTTCTGTCCTTCCTCCCTCCCTCTCTCTCTGTCTCTCTCCCTCCCTCCCTCCCTCCCTCCCTCCCCCCGCCCTCCTCCCTCCCTCCCTCCCTTCCATGTCTATTGCCACTTGGTCCTAACCTAGAAATTGAACAGGTGAAAAAGGGTCAAGACAAATAAAAATATTCTGAGCCCTGCTAATTTTCATGTTCTCTGAATCAAATTCAGATTGTTTACTCTGTTGTTTTGAAGCTGTCCATCTGTCTATCCAAGTCTGTGTCATCTCCTCTATCTACTAATTGCTCCCTGTCCACTTCATTCAGCTAATGTGCTAGCTACATTGCATTCCTTTTTCCAACTCTATGCTTTCTTTCTTGGTGTCCCTTTTGCCTAATAGGTCTTCCAGTTTCTACTGCCCATGTACCTATTTCCTTATGTCTAAAACACACCAAAAACTCCATATCTTAGAAATTCAGTTCCATTTATTGCAGTAGTTCAATTTTATACCTCAAATACCTGTCAACAGGTAAATGTAGCAAAGTGGTTTAGAAACTACAGCTTTTCAAAAGATAAAAAGTTTTCTGTTGGTATTCTTATCTCTCAGAAGGGCACATGAGTATGTAATAAATGCTTTCTGATGATGACGGCACATTCTGGTTCCACACTGTGCTTGCTGTAGGAGCTCAGTAAATATTATGCCAACCTATCAATACTCTTCCAATCCTCAATCTCCTTTTCAGTGTTTTAAATGATTACTCCTCTTCTTTGTTTCCTTACACATAAATCATATCTTTCTACCTCAGGTGGTGAATGATTGCTCTAATTAAAATTGTAAACCTCTCCAAAGATGTGTTTGTTCCCCAGAGTTTGAGTTAACAGTTCCTTGGAGCTTGGTAATGCTTTTTGTCATTTAAATTACTTTTGGTATGCACCCATGCACACGCATAAAAAAAGAACTTTCTAAATTCAAGCTCATGTTTGACTGTTTTTAAAGCAGGATTAACAACTTTGCTAGAGTATAAAGTAAAAGACCTCAATATCAGATTTTCCTGTTTGACTGCAGCACTCCCGAAATTTGCTCAGTATTTTGATGGAGAAGTCTCGACTTCAGGCTCAAGGACTAATGAAGCTCATTGGTTTCGAAAAATGGGTAAAAGGAAATTCTGTGGCTATGGGAAACATTGTGGGGTGGTAGAATCAGATGTGGATTCAAATTCTGGATCTTCCATTTGTAGCTATGGGTACAAGGATAACTTGCTTAATCTCAGTCGGTGAACTCCTCACTGTGATCCTCATTTTTTTAGATGGATTTGTGCCAAGTAAGAATTTATCATATGTCCCCAATTTTAAAAAATCCAACACTATCTCCATTGGCCATTGTCCTAGAATTAAAGATTGGAAGTGATGGAAGTCTCTAAATTTACCTGGAAAAAATTTCTCTAAAAACCTAAAGTTAGCTTTTTTTAACCCCTGAGAAACCCCTCATTAGTGTGTTAATATTAAAGATGTAGGTAGTGGAGATTATAATGGTACAGGTTAAACAGTAAATTTTCATAATTATGTTATTTCATGTTAACTTTCAGCTTGGAACTTGGCTTTGCAATGTAACAAAGACCCAGTGACAATGAGAGAATTTTTCATAATTTCTTATAAGGTAAGTCTCTTCCAACAAGTATCTCACATATGGATCACAACAAGGATATGATCACTATGAGTATAGTCAATGACTAAATATAGAGTGAGATTGGCTTTTAATCTAGGAACTTTTAATATATGTTTAAGCAGGAATGACCTAAGGGGAATTTGATCCCTATAGGGTATAATATGAGAACATGAGGCAGGTCTCCCCATACCGAAATATCACAAACAACCATCATCCGGAGCCTAAAGTTCTACCATAAGAGACTTATTCCTTTATCTTTGAAGGAATTTCAGTCTCTCAGAACCTATATCAAAATATAGCTATCTTTAGGAGGGAATACTCTAAGAAGTTGTCAATCACCAAAACATTAGGAAGGGTTATGGGTATAAGTCTATAGGAATATTGAATAGGTATCTGGGGACAACAGGAGGTTAAAAGGATGCTAAGAAGCTTGGACCTGCTTTATAATTTTTCCGAGAGCAGGTTTTGTGTGTAAGGATTTGTGAGCTTGTTTTGCAGTTATAAGCCTTTTAAAATAGGTGTTATCCTCCAAGGTAGAGGTTAAATGCCAGAAAGAGGATCAAATATTGATTAGAGGATGAAAGGAGAGGTGGCAAAGAATATCCCTCATACACATTCTGGAGTATGCAGTCTGATATGTTGAGATAGATTAAATATTTTAGAACTGGAACGAACTATAGAGATAAACTAGCACAACTCCCTCATTTTATATATGAGTCACCTGAGATGTACAGAGATTGGGTGTCTTGAAATGCTATTAGTTAAATGATGGCGATGATTATGATGACTAAATATTTGGGGAGATTAAGAAATAATGTTTGAAAGTTTAGGTATAATTTCCATTTTAATTAGGTGAAATAAATTAGCTTCAGTTTTGACATTCATGATAGCACTAGTCGGATTCCATGTTAGAATCAAGTAGCCTAGAATTTTACTGTACTACAAAGCTGGGAGGTTTGGTTTTTTTGGAGGTTAATTTGTGTTTTTATTTGCTAGTATAACTTAACTACAGTGGCCTGCAAACTCTTTTGATCTAAAAAATACCTTTTACATCACAGTCCAACAAACACACACACATATATAATATGCATGCATATATAAGCAAAACAAAAGTTTTGCCAAAAATGTCTACCCTGAGTGTTAATTCTCTTTTTTTTTGAGACTCTTTTTTTAAAGCAGTTTTAGGTTTACCACAAAATTGACAGGAAGGTACAGAAATTCCCCCATATACCCCGTCCCGACACATGCGTAGCCATTATCAACAGAGTCGTACCTTTTCTTTTTTTTTTTTTGCGGTATGCGGGCCTCTCACTGCTGTGGCCTCTCCTGTTGCGGAGCACAGGCTCCGGATGTGCAGGCTCAGCGGCCATGGCTCACGGGCCCAGCCGCTCCACGGCATGTGGGATCCTCCCGGACCGGGGCACGAACCCGTGTCCCCTGCATCGGCAGGCGGACTCTCAACCACTGCGCCACCAGGGAAGCCCCCTTTTCTTTTTTAAACCAATGACAAACTGCATTGACACATCATAAAACCACAGTCCACAGTTCACCTTAGGGTTCACTCTACTGAAGTGAGTAGTGTTGCACGTTCTGTGGGTTTGGACAAAAGTATAATGACATATATCCATCATTATAATGTCATACAAAGTATTTCACTGCTCAATAAAAACTTCTGTACTCTGTGTATTCAGCTCCCCTCTCCCCCCGAAACTCCTGGCAACCATTGATCTTTTTATTGTCTCCATAGTTTTGCCTTTCCAGAATGGCATATAGTTGGAATCTATTTTTTTTCCCTTGAATAAAGAGATTCAAAGTCTTTATGTCTGTAAGACCACTTATGGCCCACTCATGTGTGGACCTCACTGGCTCTAGGTGGCAAACCTCCCCACTAAATACTGTAGCTTTTCTTCCAATATTGAGACCTGTTCCACTGGTCCTACCCAGAAGCCATGTGGAGCTACAGGGGGACATGTGTTGGGTATTTGTTCATAGGAAGGCCACAAGTTTGTGCCCCTTGTCACAGTGAACTCAGATTTCTGTTGGGTGTGTTGTAAATTGAGGAGCCATTTCTTCAGGCCCCCTGCTCTGAGGACAGCCCATGGGATTTTTTTCTAAAGCTGGAGGAGAAGGTTTAATGATGAGGTTATGCCTAATGCCTGTCAAGATTTGACATTGTCTCTTTCAACCATGCACAATATAGGTACTAATTTCAGCTCTATTCAGTGCAAAGGGGAAATCTATTTGCCAGGGGGAAAATCACTTAGAAATTACAGCGTAAACCAAGAAGTAAATCACTAGATAGAAATACAGGGCCAAATGACAGTACTTGTCATTGGGAAAGATAGGAAAATTGTGAAGAAATGAAGCTTTTTAATCTCTAGAAAGGTGCTAAAGAAACAATAGAAAGTAATAGAAAATTAAAACCATAAATCAGTGTTATAGTCTATATCATTTTTAAGGTGAGATGTGCTTTTCCAAGCTGAATTTTGTCATTCAGACAGGATTTTGCTGATTTTCATTCTGATTGTTTGTGTTCACCTGGCAGAATTCTCACTATTCATTGATGTTCTGGTTATTTCTTATCAGCTGTCCCAGTTTTGTCCTTCTGATCAAGCAGTTCTGATTGCACAGAAAACATGTTTAATTGTGGCATCTGCAGTTGATCTAGAGAAAGGGAGAAAAGCTTCAACAATTTCCGAACAGGTAATGTGCAACCTTCAGGAAAAACACAAGCATTCGGTGTGCTGTTTGGTATGTTTGCTTTCCCTGATGCAATTGTTTTTGATTCTCTTTAAAGAATCTGTTCCTCCATTCTAGCAACATGTTGATTTCAGAGATTTGTAATGGCTACTTCCTTCCTAAGGAAAGGTCACATTTGGCTTGGCCTCTTCTTTTAAAATGCCCCTTGCCATGGATCATTATTTCTGAATCTGTTTTGAAATAGTCTTTATCTTAATCATCTCCCTGTGATCACATGTGGTCCATAGGAGTGTCTTCTCTATTTCTGTTTCCTTTCACACATCCTCTAAGGAAGCACTCATTTACTTCAGAAAGCTTTGATAGCCATCTGAAATTATTTAGTTGGCTTGTTTTTCGTCACTCAATTGCATTTGCCTTCTTTGGCCCACATTCTTAAATATTTTATCATTAACTCAGTTTTAACAAGAAGAAGACAGAATTCCTACTTTTACCTGAATTCCACTCTCAGCTTAAACCTTACCCCTTTTAGGAGATACCAACATGAACATCTTGCTCTCCCATCTACCAGAGTATTCTTTGGTTTGTCTTTAGTTCTTTACCTTCCTTCTTTCAAGCTAAGAAAGTTGTCACCAAGTTGGACCACTAGCATTTTTGTATGGTTTTAAGTTCTAGGTCTCTCTGCTTTTTTCTCTTCCCTAGACAAAGAAAACGTCACAATCTCCCATACCTACCAGCTTCTTTTCTTTCCAGTTGGTATAAAATCCTTCTTGGTGCTTATTCTCTTCCTTCTGTTAATTTGTTCTTTTATATGATTCTTCACATCTGGAACAAACTCTTAGCAGATCTCTGCCAACATATTTTGTTTTCTTTCTCTTCCCTTGTTGAGTTCAACTTGAAAAACATATGAGTACCAAGCACTCTGCTAGGTACTGGGGATAAAGAAGATAAAGTCGTTGTCCTGAGGAGGAAAGGGGCTTCTTTTTAGAAACCTTTCCATCGTAAAAGAAGATGAAAAAAAGAATCTACGAGCCTCAGAGCAAAACCAAAACAAACATTTTGCTTCTTAACAAGTAAGGGTGTTGTCGAACTCAAGTTCATATGCCCCACACACAGTGAGGCCAAACAAACTGAAATGTCAGAGTTTGGAGCAGAGAAAGGCTTATTGCAAGGGCCATGCAAGGAGAACGGGTGGCTCATGCTCAAAAGACCCGAACTCCCCAATGGATTTCAGGGAAGAAGTTTTTATATGCAAAATTTGGGGGGAAGGTGATGCAGAGTGTGTAACCCTCCTCTGACTGGTTGGTGGTGAGGTAACAGGATGGTGTTCCAGGAATCTCAATCATCAGCCTTCTGGTTCCAACCAGTCTGGGGTCCACATGCTTGTGCTCAGCCTAAAGTTATCATCCTCCACCTGGGTGGGGGCCTTAGTTCCTGTAGAAGAACTCAGAGATATATATCAAACTGTTATCCATATCCCCCAAGGAGGAACCAGGACCACCATCTTGCAGTATTGTATTCTTTCTGCATTCCCTCACTCTTCTAATTAGTAACTGTTTGAATCTGCCCTTTGGAACTCGGGGAAGGTCTAGGAGGCTGAAAGCCTTTATTCTACAAACAAGAAATGGGGGAACGGAAAGGTTTTTATTCCCCAGGAGGGCCCCACAGGGTCGTGCTCTGTTTCAATGGTATTCTCACAATAAGGTCTTTTGCTTTACTAAGAAAACAATAACATCTTGTTTTCACATAGCAGTTATAACTTTTTAAAAGCTTTCCCTCTTAAGTTGGTAGTCCTGAGTCTGTTAAATTTGTATCTCAGTGAATAGAGATCAAATTGACGTGAGGGAAATTTCACAAACTCTTAAGTATGATCCTTAATTATTTTGTTTGTTTCTAACACTGTTCTTTTTTTCCTGTGTTCTTTCTCTTGCACACACTTATGTTTCCTAAGAACTCTCTAACCTAGTAACCTTTCTATAATCTTCTTTGCTTTTGAAAGGATATCTGTTTAGATAATTGAAGATGTAGTTCTGCCTTTCCCCATGTTAGTCTGGCCCCTATGAGTTAGACCATGGTGCTCTTTCTCTAATGAAGATTTGTTGGATTCTGTTATTTACATCTGTTCCTTGTTCTCTAAATCCTCATCAACTGAAGTATTTCCAAATAAGTATATTATGAAGCAATATAGATAGACTGCATAATCCTATCAACATTGCATCTAGTCTCCTGAGTATGAGCTGGGGAAAGTGAGGGATGCTTTAAAATATATATAGTAATTGTAAGCCATCAAGGAACCACATCTTTATCCTAGAACAGGACAATTTGTTACTGAAGGGGAAGCTAGGGGAGAGATCTGGTCTTCTGTTAACTACTTATCCTTCATTTCTACTTCTTTGATCTAAGGAAAGAACCAACAGGTTAGGCAAGGTATTGTGTGATCAAAAGATTTGAAAGGTGTGCTTGGGCCAAAGATGAGTAGAGCGTGGGGATGCCTGATTTAAAAGTTAGTTACAATATAGCTTTGCTAAACTGACAAGAAAAGGGGTTTCCTGCTGAGGGCAGTTTCCTACAAAGAGCTGCTTACAAAGGTAAGCCCAAAACCTAATGGGGAAAACAACATTAAACCCCAAGGCTTAAAAACAATCCTCCTTGTATCGGTGCCCCACATTTTGAACCCACTGGGGCTACAGTTGGGCCCCTAAGCCTCTAGACCCCACCTGCATGGCTCTGCCAGGTGCAGTACATGCTGCAGCTCTCACAAGTTAGGGTTCAGGCTGGAATTCCACAAGGTGGCTCTACTGGTCTGGGGTAGGAGGCTCTGTGGGGCATTGCCCTAGTGAGGGCTTTCTGCAGTGGTTCTCCCCTACAGAGGTTCTTTGCCTGGGCCCTGACGGTCTCTGGGGCATCTTTTGAAATTTAGGAGAGGGCAGCAGTGCCCCCCAGCTCTTGGACTCTGAATACCAGGGAGAAAACACCAAGCTGATGCCTTCCAGAGGTTTGCAACCTGTGCCTTCTGGAGGGACAACCACAGCAGCCTGTACTGCACTTGGGGTGTCTGAGGAGCATGGTGTGGGAACTTGAGGAGCACAGCCCAGGAGATGAGATGGCTCTGGGCCCCTGATGGGAGGGCCAGCCCCAAAGATCTCTGATCTGCTGTTGAGGTTATTCTTCCTTTGCCTTGGACAGTAGGTCCTGGCTTCTGTTTAGATGGCTGACCAATCTGCCCATTGTCTTGATGAATAGCTCCTAGCTTCTGTTGAGATGGTTCATCCACAGCAATCTCTTATCAATTCAGCCACACCCTTGGTGTTCTCTCCCTTTGATGCTTTCTTATTTCTTTCAATATTAATGGGCTGAGAATTTTCCACATTTTAAAATTCTGCTTAATTTTTTTTTTTCTTGCGGTACGCGGGCCTCTCACTGTTGTGGCCTCTCTTGTTGTGGAGCACAGGCTCCGGACACGCAGGCTCAGCGGCCGTGGCTCACGGGCCCAGCCGCTCCACGGCATGTGGGATCTTCACAGACCGGGGCACGAACCCGTGTCCCCTGCATCGGCAGGCGGACTCTCAACCACTGTGCCACCAGGGAAGCCCCTCTGATTAATTTTTGATTAACAGTTCCACCTTTAAATCATTTCTCTCTTCGCACATTTTACTATAAGCATTCAAGAGAAACCAAGCCACTCTTCAACACTTTGCTTAGAAATTTCTTCAGCCAAATATCAATCTCATCGCTCACAAGTACTACCTTCTATAAAACACTGGGAACACAAACACAATTCAGCCAAGCTCTTTGCCACTTTATAGCAAGGATGGCCTTTCCTCCTTTCCTCTAGTTTACAATGTTCCTCATTTCCATCTGAGACCTCATCAGAATGACATTTACTATCCATATTTCTACCAACATTCGGTTCACAACCACTTAGATATTCTCTTAGAAGACTGAGGCTTTCTCTACAGCTCTCCCCTTCTCTTTCTTGGTCCTCAAGAGAATTTCCCTTAACAGTCCATTCATGGCAAAGTAGACTTTCTAGCATGCACCTCCAAACTCTTCCAGTCTCTGCCCATTACCCAGTTCCAAAGCTGCTTCCATATTTTTAGGTATTTGTTACAGCGGCACCCCACCAATCAGTACCAATTTTCTGTCTCAGTCCATTCAAGCTGCTATAACAAAACACAATAGACTGGGTAGCTTATAAACAACAGAAATTTATTTCTCACAGTTCTGGATGCTGGAAGTCCCAAGATCAAGGTGCCAGCAGGGTTGTGTTCTCTGATGAGGTCTCTCTTCCTCCTTTATAGCTGACACCTTTTTGCTGTGTCCTCCCATGATGGAAAGCGCCAAGGATCTCTTTGGAACCTTCTTATAAAAAGCACAAATCTCATGTATGAGGGCTGCATC